TTTTTTTTAGGGGTTTTTTTTAAACTCCTGAACTTTTAACTAGATGTGCAAAGATCAACATTTTGTGACTGTTTCCTGGTTTAATGTAACGCTTTGACAGCTTTGGCCCAGTTTTAACCATTTCATTTTTGTTTTTATAAGATTATATTTATTTATGTATTTCAAACAAGTTTTTAAAAACAATATAAAAAAATTAGGACAAGTGAAAACATAGGCATAGGCAAGAAAAAAAATAACTAAGTTACTGCTACTTTTCTGTTTGAAAAGAAGTAGAGATAAGGAGACACTTATTTAATCCTACCCCTTATCGCAGTTTAATGAAATATATCACTTACTGACTCGGTAATTATTAGGATTTTGTAATTTTGTAAATGAGCACGATATTTAGGGAGCAGAGATAGGAGAAGAGCAGGGAATGTCCCAAACACAAATCCTACAGCACATCTCAAAAGGCAAATGTTACTGTTTAGAGTCGCTAAATACAGAAAATGTGATCGATTAGATGCAAAAATTAGCAAAGAATGACTGAATTTGCATGAACAGTTGCGATCGCAGCAGGACTATAAAAGCCAAGAATAAAACAAATCACCCGTTTTCTACTCTGTCAAACCTTCCTGGTGTCTGCTGAACGTCTGTCCCAATGTCCAAAATGCACCACGTTTTATTGCCACGTTCCTGTGTGCAGGTGGTTCGTGTCTCCAAACATGGTGTAGCCAAACTTTCCGTTTTGTGAGGCAGCAGCAGCCCACCAGCACCGAACCAGGATGTCCAGCAGCTCGGGCTACCCCCCCAGCCAGGGGTCGTTCAGCAGCGAGCAGAGCCGATACCCGCCACACTCTGGTGTCCAGTACGCCTTCACCGGATCGCGCCACCAACAGGTAAAACCAAACTGCAGTAAAGCCTCTTGCTCTCCTTTACTAGTTTGGCATCTTTTAGAGTTTATTTCAAAGGTTTTAACGCCTCCCGTAAGACTTTAATACATCATTTTTATAAATTTGAACAAGTATGGGGGGGAAAAAATAAACTTGACTTATTGATTTTTTTAAATTATTTTTTTTGTGACCCACAGTGAAAAAAACCCCTCATGAAAAAGCAGTGGCACATTTCTGTTTTTGCCTCTAGATCAGAGCTTCATCTGGGTCTGCGACTCTTTCACACCAAAGTCATTTGATTCATGTGTGTTTCCTTGCTTGGTTTCTGCACCGGGTATCATTCTCCGGACCAGACTCTAAAAACATTTCTCCAGTTTGCAACCGGACTTTACAAACAAATGCGGGAACTGAAATCGTTCTGTGACCACAGCAGGACATCAGTCCTTCTCTCTGCTGCTCCATGCCTCTCACTGACCGTCCTGGTTTCAAAATGTGATTAAACTAAGTTTGGTTAAGATTCCAAACACAGCAGAAATACTTTTTGTTTAAGTTTTACAATCAAAATGAAGGGATCACAGATTTATTATGAAATGCATATTTAATGTACAGCTGAAGCAATTAATCGGATTTGTCATGATTAATCAATTTATTGAAATAATTGTCAACTAATTTGATAATTCAGTATTCACTAACTGGAGTATACAAACTTAAAAAAACATTCTTTGTCTTAAATATTTTCTACCAAAAATTCTACCACTTTTAACTTCACTTTGTTCAAATTCTGTGAAATTCTGCTATTAAGCAGCTTTTGCATCCAATTATTAATTAGTTAATTGAAAAAATGGTCAACTGAATAGCTTTAGATGATACGGATGTTCAGTTTAAGGCTTATTTAAGTATTTCTTTAGTTTTTTTAGCCACAGGTACATCTTTTCCTTCAAATTTTCAAGTGTATGCTAAAGGAATGCTACGTTGCTGGATTTTAGGAAATAAAATACATATTTTCTTATTTCCAAAAAGTTATTTAACTATTTATTTGCATTTTTAAAATTTTTTATTGCATAAAATCTGAAGTGATTAAAAGAAATTCTGCAGAATGCGCCTTTAAAAAAAAAATCCGATTGATGAAATAATCAGTGGTTCATAATTTGAGGAACATTTTAGGTTATGTCTTATATTTCACTCTAAATTATAAAATCTGCTGCAAAAAATATGAACAAATTTGGATCTGGAAAATATGAAAATTTGAAGATGGAGAAATTAAGTGAGATCCTTAGTTTAACTTCATCTATAAAAAAAACATTGGATCCAATTTCAGTTGTGAGAAGCTAAAGAAGCTGTGCAATTTAACAATCAAATGAAAAGGACCAAATAATTTGGTAATAATGTGAACAAAACTAAATCAGAGCAACAGGGTGAAACGTGGAATCTCCTTACCAAAAGCATCATGCATTATTTGAGTTTCTAACTGTATTTTCAGCAATTTATACGACTCTAGTTCCTAGTTTTGCTAAAGTAAAGCAGAGGTGATGCCAAGTACTAAAAGTGAAAAGTCTGGAATTAATTGTAAACACAAACAAATATTGTTTTTCTTCAGTTGTGATGTGAGCAACGTGAGTGTGATGCAAAACCCCCCCCTCACATTTCAAAGGAAACATTCTAGTTTAAGTCTTAGCTTGTGGACACGTTGCATCTCAAAAAGGCTAAAGTTTTATGTTGTTTCTGCTTTCAACAATTTGACACACTTGTTTATTTTCTAGTAACTCATTTTGAGATGGTTTGGACCAAAAATGTTCAGTTCTGGTCTGCCGGCTCGTTTCTCCTTGTTGACTAGAGAGCAAACAGCAGCATTGGAAGAATATCGGACTGATCTGGATGCACATGCGTGGGCTTGTTCTGGTGCTTCCGTCCTCAGTCGGAGGAAATGTTCTCTCAGAGAGAAAGAGAAAGGAAGACATGTCACTTTCTCTCTTGAGTTGTTGTTTTAAATCTAAAAGGAAGTAACTGAATTTGATGATTATAATCATTTTAGAACTAAATAGACTGAAGGACAATTTAAAAAATAAAAAGGCAAAGATGAGCAACAGGTAGAATATAAATGAATGATGCTAGCCTGCGGCTGGTTTTTTATCACTTCCTGTTTATCTTTTTCTTATTTCCTTTCACTTAGTTTTTTTTTTTTTACATGTTCTGTGGCTCAGAAACACTGGTTGGCTCAATTTCCATTTTTATATTCCATCCTGGTGATAGACTTTGTCTGACGCAGCCATATTAATATATTTTTTGTGTATTATTCTTTTAAATGAAATTAAACTGAGAAACTTTAAAAAAAAATATTGGGTCATGTTTCTTTGCATTTTTTGGACTTCATCCTTCTTGGAATCTCTTTTTCACTGAAAAGTATTGGCTGAAAAATTCCAGGCATTTGATTGTTTGCTTAAATCCAGGAGAAGATAGGGATTTCCGAATATTTCCTGAAAACAGATTTTGTTGGGGGTTTTTTTTTGGCAGTCACACTGTTCTGATAACATTTTTGAAATCATTCTGCAATGTTTGCAATTTTTTTATTTTTATTTAATACATTACCGGTTAAAGTCTTATTTGAAAACAACAACAACAACAATTCTTAAAGTTAAACCTCTAAATGAAGTCAGCATTACTTTTCCATTCAGAGTGACTGACCGACCGAGGAGTTAATTGGGAATTATTGCTTTTATGGGATAGTAAAAAGCAGGCAGCTCACAGGAAATGACTGGGTGGGGTTAAAGGTCCCATGTTTCAAACAAAATACACAAGTAGATTTTTGACTTGCATAACTCTTCGTAGCTAAAATGTTACCTCAGGGCATAGCCTTGTAGGCAAAAATAAAGTCTGAGGTTTTATCTGTTTTACCACAAATGTTCTGCAGTGCTGAATGATTTAACTGCAAGCAGCCAGATGTTTCTATGGGATTCTTGTAATGTCAAAACCTAAGAAAAGCAGGGTGTTAAAAAAAAAACGAAACTAATATGTTTAATATGATCCAAATGATTTTATTTAAAGTAGAGAAATAACAGTCTTTCCTACTTCAGCTGAAATAAAAATATATATTTTTGCTTGTGGTAATAATGTGACTTGCTTTTTTGTTATGTTGACAAAGAGTTAAGCAAAAAATATAATTAAATTCTAGTTACTCCTGATCTGTCTGAAGCTCAATGCTGCTTCAGACAGATCAGATAGAGATAGGTGTGCAGCAATAAGTAGAAGGAAATTTTAAGAGGTTAATGCACCTGTTGTCAGAGCTGCACTCTGAAAACATGACGCAGTAAAGCAATTGGCTGCTTTACAAGCATGCTATTTTATTTTATTTTTTAAGAATTGGAGCCTCTTTGAATAAAACACTTCAAGACTCCTTTTTGCTGCCTGCGTGTTCTGTGAAGTGACCAAAGTGGTTAAAGTCAAACAACCCCGATCAGCTGACTTGTAGAGGGGAAAGCCCGGTTTGCAGGTCAAGAGAGTGATGCAGTGATGATTTTTTTTTTTTTGCTCCTCCTTAGCCAGTCACAAGATTTGAAAGAGTAAACAAGACGTAGAAATAACTTTTAATGATAAGGGTAAAAATGCGTGATGGCGTTTGAAACCAGCCCTGTTTAGTTCACTTTAATTAAACTCTAGCTCATTTGGCTTTAAAGTTTGGTTCACTTGGGGAGGTGTGAATGTGCAACAGATCTCTGATGCGGACTAAAAGAAGTGAACTCTGGTCCACCTAGGGATCAGTTCGATAGAAGTGAAGGCTTGTGTGGTTAGAATGCATATGTGCCCAGAGAGCATTTTGGGTAAACACAACCGAAACACATGTACAGAGAGAAATGACTCTAGGTCTTTTACCAGAGACAAAAAGAGAAATCCTCCAACCTCTCCATTTATGTTTACGTTTGTGAAGAAGGAAGTTGTTCTCAGTAGGCTTTCGTGTCGTTTCCTTCAGTGGTTCTTGGTGCAGCGCCACCACAGGTGAGGAGGTGAATGAGTTTTTCAAAGGGTTTGGTTCATTTGACACAGTGCTGTGTGAAAACAAACCACACCAACTGAAAATATAAGAAATATTGCAATTTTGGTCTTCAGTCGAAACGGACTATCAGTTGTGAAAACACATAAATTAGAAATGTGAAGCATCTGCTCAGCTGACAGCAGCTTTTAGCGTTGGACCGTCATTATTGTTTTGGTAAGAACGATGGGAGGAAACTTCTGGCCCAGGTTTTCTCCATAGCGCTGACATCGATGCCTCCGGTTGTCCCACACTGCCGGCTTTGGCTTTGAAAGCTCACAGCTGTCCGCCTTTACTTTGTTTTCTGAACGAGCAGACGGAGCTCTCAGGAGACTCAATGTTGTGCGTTTATAACACAAAAACCTTTTGGAAGAAAACAAGTTTGTTGTGTTGTTGTAAAATAGAGAAATGTGTAGTGGCCCTCTTGTAGCTACTGGAGGCTGAGGGGAAGGGCAGATCTATGTTACTCTATGCTCTGAAAAGCTAGAAAATCCTCCAGTCATTTCATTAAAACAACTTTCAAACGTAGAAATGGTTCGATGGGAAATTTGTGGAGTTTAAACTGTAATTGTTCATTTTGCAGGAATTCATGTTTTGTTTTTTTGTGGGGATACCCCTCCATTTTTTATTTTTTATTTTTTAATTCACCAGATTGCTTTCTAAGTCTTCTGTTTCCTTCCTCTTCCTCCTGAAGGATTTCCCCGTCCCAGACTACCGCACTCACATGCAGGATCCACAGGGCCGCAGACGGCTGTCCTTGCTCTCCGAGTTCCACCCCGGAGTCGAAAGGTGCTCTCTCACCCCGTCGTCTAAGCAGCAGATTTTCTTTCAATTCCTCCTGGATCTGTTCAGATTTGTTCATATTTTACAAACAATTTGTGGTGAACTGTTCTCTAAATACGTTTCATGTCTGCTTTTCCACTTCAGGCCTCCGGAGAGGCGCCACCATGATTACGATCGGCAGTTTCACTCTGTCACAGCGCAGGCGGAGCACGAGGCCCTGGAGGCCAAGCGCCCTCGCATGGAGACCGTTGCCGAGGCCCATATCAACCGCACCCCTCCCACTGCTGGGGGTATTGTGCTGCCCATGCCCCACACTGTACAGGACAGCTTAAGAGCCAGTGTAGAGGTCAAAAAGGTGGGGCCTGATTGTTTTAGCCTGATTGTTTTAGTCTGTCCTTCTCTTCCCTCTCGGCCGAATCTAGGTTTTATTGCTTTACTCAGTTACTGGCAGAAAATCAAGCCTGACGGTTCACGTTTCTTAAACAAATTTCGTTCACCAGGAGTCTCCGTTCACCGTCAAAGTGGAGTCCCCGTCGCCGGGAGGACCTGCGCTGCTCATGGGGGAAGAGCAGGACACGTCTCCCTCCAAACTGTCCAAGGAGGAGCTGATTCAGAGCATGGACCGCGTGGACAGGGAGATTGCGAAAGTGGAACAGCAGATTTCCAAGCTGAAGAAAAAGCAGGTGGGGGTAAAGCGAGCCAGGCGTTTTGTCACTGGGCAAGGCTGGAAAACAAAGGTTGTTGTATAAGAAACCTTGGCCTTAATGAAATGTTTCATAATGATCCCGTTCAGGGAAAACAAAAAAAGCAAAAAAAAACAAAAAAACAGCTTGTTTCCAGTGGCAGTAAAACAAAACAAGACAGACCTGCTTTGTAAATAGCCAGAGTTTTAGGAAGCAAAATAGTGAAATTTACATTCTGTCTTAATTCTAAATAATACATTTATATTACTGTATTTAATTAAAAGTCCTAAAAGTTGTTTGTGATAGCTGGCCACACAGTACCTAATTAAGTTAATGTGTATACAGTTAATATCAGTGTATACAAAATGAATGAACTGCTAGGACTCTAATGAGCATCAGCTGATTATTCAGGTGCTTTATGTTGTTTCACGCAAAAAAAAAAAAAAGATAAACATTGAAATTCCAAAGTTTCAACATATGGCAATGTGTGACTGTGATTTTTTATTTTTTTTTTTTATTTTATTTTTTTTTTATATTAAGCTTTTTGGTCTGAACTTCTCATCTCAACGTTGTCTCCTAGCAACAACTCGAGGAAGAAGCAGCGAAGCCCGTGGAGCCAGAAAAGCCAGTGACCCCTCCTCCGGTGGAGCACAAGCACCGCAGCATCGTTCAGATCATCTACGATGAGAACAGGGTACGTCCTCCGAACGCACCGCCTCCCATCTCTGATGGAGTTATTCAGTTTTCCTGTCTCGGCTGCAGCCACCCATAAAGCTAATTTGTCTGTTTTTAACTGAGACCACAACAACGATTCTTCTTGATCCTTGCAGCAGATGGGCTGTAACCGTTTCTTTAAATTCAGTTTTTCTCCACTCTGCCTGTTTCTGCTTTGAAATGAAACGTTTGCTGCTTTGAACCACCGTGGAGCTGTATTAAGTTGCTTCCACTATGAATCTTTCTGCTTCTTGCTCAAACATCCTGACCACAAAACACGACTGGATTTTGATTCTCAGAACAATGATTCATCTGTATCCACTGTTGCTGGACTTTCTTGTAGTTCTTTTTTTTTCTCTTCTTTTTATTAATTTGGCTGCAGTGGAAGAGTTTGGCATGCGTTTTCAACGGATTCTTTAAAAAGTTTGACCATTAAAACTTAATAAAACTCACTTCAGATTACATTTAAAATGTGGGGTCCAAACTTTTTGTCACCCTGTTAAAAATTAAAATCACCCAATATTTTTTAAAAAAAATGTTTCTATTCTTTTTTCATCTACTCACCAATAAACTAAGCATGAACTATTTCATTTCAACAAATTTTGCTTTTTATTTTGGGCTCGACTAAAGAAAATGAAATAATATTTAGACTGTTTTCAGCAATAAAAAAACAGGGTCTTTGTTTAAAAAACACCTGCTGTATTTAACCGAGTTTCAATAGAGAAACTAACTTCAGGCTTTGGTTCACATGGGTTTGTTTCAGAGAGTAAGGCAATGAGTAGATGTTGTCATAGTCACCATAAAAATAAAAGGAAACCAGAAAACGTTTTCTACAAAAAAAAAACAAAAACACTTTATTCTGGAAGTGGACACTTTAAAATGTTCTGATTTAATAGAGCTCAGAACATCATTGACTATATAGAAATGCTGCACACAGACATTGTTCAACATGAAATAAATAAACTATGAATTAAGAGACAATGGTTTGTTTAAAAAGAAAACTAAACAAATATTAAAAACAAGTGGATTTCAGTTAGAAGGATTCGGGTGTGGAATAGTTGTTGTGAGGCATCCAAGCAGTTTTTCACCCAAAATAATAAAAACAAAATGTCTAGAAATTATTTACTAGATAAATACAATAAGGTTTAATCGTTTTCTTTTGGGTTTGTTTACAGATTAAGCTGGAGTTCTGTGGAGATGATTTTAGGAAAATATACAAGAAAGATTCTGCTGTTTTGGATTTTGATAATTTGCTCTACTTATAAAAAAAAGAGTGACTGTATGATAAGGTTATGCTTCCTACAATTTTAATATTGTTTATTCATGTTTTATTTATTTATTTTTTATTTATTCTTTTTTTGCTGTTTTAATTTTTTTTGTCAGCAATGTGTTTTTTTTCCCTTGTGTATTGAAACGTTAAAAAAAAAAAAAAAGACAGAGGAGGGGAAAGACGAGTGTGGTCGGGCGACCGCAATAAAATCAGTCCAGGTGCCGCAAATGGCCCCCGGGCCTCACTTTGAACAGCCTCGGTCTAAAGGAGCTGCGTTTCACGGAGTTGGAAAACCATTTCTGTGGGGGTCATGGCAGTTCATGGCTGCGAGACAGCGTTGTGGTCGGAGAGTGCTGAGACTCTTTCTCCTTCTCAGTCAACCATTAACCCTGGAGGATGTGAAGGCGCTCGCTCATGCCAGTTAGTCTGGCAGCTGCGCTTGTTTGTCCTCTTGTTTGTCTGTAGATGAGCCCGGGAAATTAAACACTGAGTCATTATTCTCCTAATGATCTTGTCTCAGCTAAAAATCTGCTCTGACCCAGGAAGAATCTCTTGCCAGCCTCCATAATTATTTTTCTTGCATCAACATTTTTTGCTCTTTTTTCCCCCTTGGTGCAGCTGTGCGCTTTCGGGGCCTTAAACTTTTCAACGTGTTGATGTGTCGCAGCTATTAATATTACTGTATTTAATTAGGATTTTTGCTATTGCACTAGCTCAGGGGTCTGCAACCTGCGGTCCCGGAGCCGCAAATGGCTCGTTGGATGTTCCATAATGGCTCTTAATAACTTTGGCTAACACTAGAGAAGAACCAACGAATGTTTCCAAACTTCGTTATGCAGGTTCGGAGAGTTTCTCGATTTTTGTCATGGAATAATTTCACTTAGGGGTTGGGGATATGAACTTAAAATTTCATCACAATATTTTGTGGTACCCTAGTGATTGTAAAAGTGACCATTTTTATTTCAATTAGGACACCAAGTAGCACAAAAAGTGTCATTTGTATCACTAAGCTGTTCACAGTAACTCATTAAGCGTCTGTTGTGATGTCAATGCTTTCTTTTCAGAAAAAAGCTGAGGAGGCCCATAAAATATTGGAAGGTCTTGGCCCCAAAGTTGAGCTGGTACGTTAATTAATTGTGGTTATTTTATGGATTTTTTTTTCTTTATCTTTAAGGATTTTAAATAATTAGAGATGCACCAATTCAAATTTTGTTTAGATTGTTTTTGAGGTGGGTAGGATAGCACTACTTACTTCAACATATTTTTACTCGAGCAAAAGTAAAAAGTAGCCGTCTGAGAAATTACTCAAGAGTAAAAAAAAGTATTTGGTAAAAAGGTGCTCAAGTAATGAGTAAATGATAAAAAAAATAAATAAAAAATCAACCATTTAATGTTCAAAAAATTATATCTTAGGATGACTGAAAATTTAAAGTTATTTTGGCATTTTAAGGACCAAAATAAATAACATAATTACAAAATATCCAAGAATTGTAAACGAATAAAATTAGTGGTACTTCAAAATAAAATTGCTCAAAAGTAAAAAAAAAAAAAATACAGCAAAATAAACCTATTCATACAAGGAAATTGTTTTTAAAATGCTTCTTAAGTAAATGCAACTAGTTATTATACAACTCTGCGTTTTTTACTGCTTCCCGATTCTGTTTAAAGATGGAAGATGTAAATAAGGACGGCATTTAATTCCTAATGAGTGGTGCTGAATTACATGCATGGAAAACACACTTTTACTGACATGTTATATCAAAGACAAAAGGTTGTGTATAATTTGTATGATGAAATTATGTTCAAAGATGTAAAGGATAAAACTTCCTTTTACCCTTCTTGCTATCTGTTGAAAATCTCGCTCTGTCTTTCAATTCAAATAATATTCAGACATGTTTGGAAACGTCAGAAATACTTTCTCACGCATCTTTTCTTCCTCCATCACCTCACCGCCTAGCATTGTGTCAGCGTCCACACACACACACACAAAAAAAAAAAACATATGTTGTCGTTAACAGGAGCTAGTAGCGGCTCATACGACTCATTATTGAGAAGTTTCCGTCTGGCTCCACCGGTCAGAGTTGGTCAAGCTAAAAACGGTCTCATACCAGTCGCTAGCGGATTTCTCGTTGTGTCCCTAACACTAATGCACAAGGATGACATATTGCACAGCAACCGTAATAATTATTTTCTTCTTCTTTTTCTTCTTTTTAATAGCCTTTGTACAACCAGCCGTCAGACACAAAGGTGTACCACGACAACATCAAAACGTGAGTACCTGTTTTTATTCACCTCGTTAGCGTGCCAGCGCAGACGCTTGCCATGGAAACCGTTCAACTCCGACCCGAGGTCTCATAAACCTCTCTGATAATTCAGTCTAATCTGATTGCCGAGTCACCTGGCTGACCTACTGCTCACACCAAGGAGAGCGGCTGTGAGAGGAAGCGACTGTGTGTGTGTGTGTGTGTGTGTGTGTGTGTGTGTGTGTGTGTGTGTGTGTGTGTGTGTGTTCAGAATAGGTTGCATGAGGGGTTGAAGGCTGTGTCGTCTGGAACAACAACAAAAAAAAAAGAGCTCTTATCAGCGTGTACCATGAGAGCGACCCATCTGGCTCGGCCTTTTATCAGGACAGAGAGCGATTCTGTGTGAACTGAGTGAACAGGCCACGCTCTCAGGGTCAACGGCCTCACTGTCCCCCACCCCAAACACACGCATGCACACAGACACACACACACCCACCCACCCCAACAGCATTTGTAAACGGAAGAATTCCCGGTATTTTGTGTGTGTCACAAAATACGCAAATCATTTAAGGACAAATCATTGCTGGATGGATTACTGGAAAGATTCAGAGATGCCTTTTGTTTTTTAAAGGTACTTGCTAAACACAAACATAACATTTTATAGGAGACTTTTTGACTTTTAGGTGCTTAAAATCCTTCAACATGTTTGAATCTCAATTATACGTTTCCCAAAGTTTAGAAAGTGCTTCATTTCTGTATGAAATCCTTCAGAGTGCTGGATATTCAAACTCCACAGTTTTGTAATAAAGTTCGATCGAACGTTTGATTAAAAGCCTAAAGTTGGAAAATGGCATTTACAGTTAAAACCAGACATGCTATTAAACCTAATAAAAAAAACAAACATGTATGTATTTCTTTCCACTGTCTGAAGTTACATCAGACTAAACTTCTCTTGTTTTAGGCCAGCTAAAATTAGCAAAATTATTTGTATTTGTTAAATGCCAGAAAACTTACCAAGAACATTTTTTTAGAGATTTTTTATGACTTTTTTATATTTTATATTTAAGCAATAAATTTGCGCAGGATTGTAATTTACCTTCAGACAATTAGTTTGGATTGTTTCAGTGTGATAATTCCCAATGTCTCAATAACTTATTTATGTGTGTAATAGAAATACAGGGTGGCTTATGTCTTCTATATTATTGACATTGGAGGATTTGTTGTCATAAGGAATGTGAGAGAAATATTTGAAAATACAAATGTTTTTTTGATTTTAGTTTGTCTAGAACTTTGAACACTATCGCCAGTACATTATCAATAACAACCATAATGTAATTCCAATAATAATTTACATTGTCTTTTTTTTTTTTTTTAGGTCATTTGTATTAATTTTATCTCCAAAGTGTGTCCTTTTAAAATGCCTGAATTTTACTGTGGGCTAAGTTTATAAAACCTATTTTGAGTTTGCCACATACAGGTGTTTTTATTATTATTATTATATTTTACATTTTCTAAACTCAACATTTAATCAGTAATATTCCTGTATAAACATGACAACTCACTGGATTCCTGTCTTGTTTCAGAAACCAAGTCATGCGGAAGAAGCTGATTTTGTTTTTTAAGAGGAGGAACCACGCACGTAAACAAAGGGTAAGTTTCCTCACCCTGGAGTTACACGATGCCAAACTTGCATCTTGTTTTATGTTTGAGTGTTTCGGAAAACACTCATACACAACATAACTCCTTTCCTTTCCCATAGTCGGTGCAACACTCACAGCACAATACAACATGTGACCACTTGTCCTCATCTGACCTCTGAAGCACTGGTTACAATTTATTCCTCCCTTTTTTTTCTTTTTTTTTTTAAATGACCGGCTGCACTTAGTTTGGCTTTACGATATGCTTCCTTTTTACCTTATAATGTAAACATAACACTGTAAATTAGTTGCAGATTATTTCAAAAGTAAATGATTTACTGGAGCAGCTGTGTTGTTGGCTAAAATCTGATGAGTCCACACAAACCTGCTGACCTGATAACAACGTTATGTGGCGTCACGTTTGTTTTGGAGCCTGATTAATCCAAAATGACTTCTGAGAAATATATTTGACAGCAGAGTGGAGTTCAGAGTCTATTTTTTTTTCTGTTGGTCGTGGATGTCCTCATGTGATCTCCAAAACTGGATCTGGTCTCCTTAAAGGCACTTTTAAAACTGGATTTGATGTCTGACGTTCCTCCAGCTGCCAGGAGGCGATTAAAACCAACCAGCCATTCGCATTATTTTGTTATGTTTTCCCTAATAACCCAAGTGTTTCTTCACCTGTTGCATTTACACCAGTGGTGTCCAAACGTTTTGCCATGGGGGCCAAAAACGTCAAGTTGAATGTACTCAGGGGGCCACAAAATTTTGCATATCATTGTTTTTTATTGAAATTGCTGTAAAATTCTTCTCTCTTTTTTCTAGTACTGTCAGCTCAGCAATAAACCAGACATATAATATGTTAATGAAACAGTCAAAGTAGTCTAACTGCCGGACCTGCGTTATGGTCTGAGTCAGCAAACATTTTTTCAGTTGTCGTCAAGGGCCGCGTAAATTCATTCTGAGGGCTGCAAATGGCCCCTGCGCCCCACTTTGGACTCCCCAGATTCACACCGAAAAACTCTTGTGTGGATTCTGACTGCTGCAGCTTCCTGTCTGAACTGCTATGATGGGGCAATCACTGGAACTGCATGGCAGCATTGTCAACAAGCCGTATCCAAACAGAGACTAAACATCTGCAAACCGGTTTCCTTTAAAAATATTGTCAGCAGGACCAAGACTCGAGTTTATCAAAGACTATCTATGGATGTTCACACGGATATGTCTTTAGAGGGAAATGATGCAGCGATGCACTTTTAGATAAAGTATTATGACTGAAACAGTTATCAGCAACGAATTTAGTAATTGATTAATCTTTAACAGAGGTATACAGACACAGAAAAAGGCCAATTTCTGAAAGAACAACATGTAATTTCGTCAAAACTGTACAAAAAATATAAACCTTTTGTAATTAAGAAAAAAACAATTTTTTTCTCAGAAATCCTCACGTAGCATAGTTTTAGCTTTGCCCACTTCAAATTCTGTGAAAATAAATCTTACCAAGCAGCTTTTGCTACCCGGTTATTAATTGGTTAAAATAATAAATAATCAACAGATCAATCCTGGATCCTGTTGACGTTAAGTCAAGCAGAAAGGGCTGAGATTTTCATGTTGGAAGTATTTTTTTAGCTGAGACGCTTCCTTTGCTACAAATAATCAACTGTATGCAGTGGAATAATTCAAAGAATGTTACATCTTTGTATTTTAGGCAATAAAATGTTTATTTTCATATTTTAAAAATTAATTATTTGTTTTTATGCTTTTGTTTCTCTGGTATTGTGTGAAAAATCTTAAGTGGTTAAGAGAAAAACCTGGAGGAGGCACCATTTTTTTTTTAATCTGACTTAACTGATAACTAAAACAATTTAGTTCCAGCCCCAAAATAAAGTCGGATCGTTACAGTAATAATATATACGATTTATAACCAATGTCTTCAGAAAGTGTTCGTGGCATGTAGCTGAAGTAGTCAGAAAACAATAAAATAAAAAAAAAGTTTTCAAACATTTCTGTTCAAATAATCATACAAAAAAGCCACACATTGCTGCTTCGACACCAGATCGGCTTCAAAACGAGGCGACGATAAGCAGGACCTGCTCGCCGAGGCTCTTTTGACTCTGTGGGTCACGGCTGTGGAAGCTGTAAAATGATACAGCCGCTGTATTATTTAGGGAACAGGAGACGCCTCGGTTTCCCCCGTTTGTTTGGACGCATTGTGTGGGGCAATAACAACTCTTGTATGCAGTGGAATAATAAATATTGTCACATCAAACAGCCTTTCTGAGAAGTGCCTTGCCAAACCGCAGCCTTATCGGTTATTTAAATATTGCAGGATCACCTTGTGTTTAAACACGCAGATCTTTTTTGTGTCGCTGCGGTTCAGCGAGTCTAACCTCTCTGGCAGCTCCTTGTCGGGCTCAGGCAGACCTTTTGGACCGTGAACAATGGCAGAGCGCTGGTGGCCTTGTGCCAAGAGGAAGGTGAATTGTTGGTCCCTCGCTGCAGAAGGTCGGAGAAAAAAAAGAAAAAAAGGACCATTCTGTCCTTGTTAGCCTCTTCCCAAAACATTTTAACTCTTTCCCGTCAAGGCATTTATGGATTTAAGTAGTTTTCCTGACCTCGGTAGTAAACAGACTGTGTTTTTATTTGATGATTTCAAAATAAACTTGTGTAATAGAAATGCCATGACCCGTTGAAGAGGGTTTGTAAACACAACGATTGCACCGGAGCGGATTGTGAATGGGACGGGAGACAGAAATGGAGTCGATGACAAACTGAAACCCACAACAAATGGCTTCCTCTCTCGCTCCTGCTCTGGCCTAAACCAACGTGCTTGACTTGTTTACATTTTTTTTTTCAGGGAAAAAAAAATAAAAGAAAAACTGCTGCATTGACTGTTTAAATAACGTGCTCATGTTGTTGCTCGCTCTCCTACAGAGAATAGTTGTGACCATGGTTGGTAGACGGTGAGATCAGTTTTGTTAACATTATTGTTGCTCAGGCTTTTCCAGATGTTTGAGGTCAAACCTGCAGATTTTGATTTTGATCAGTTTTGAATATTACATTGTGAGGCAGTGCTATGTAAAAGTTGACTTTTTTTGAGCTTTACATCCTGTCATGTAAAGCTCATTCATTCGTTCATGTTTGAGGAATCCATGGCAACCATTCAGGTTTGCAAAACGTTTGGTCTCACCGCCTTTTCCAAGCATCTCCTCCCCGGAGCTGCAGCTTCCACGCTGAGCCTTCCACCTCACAGAGCAGCCCGCCCCAATTTCAAGGCATTACGTTACTAAGTCATATTCCTTCTAAGTCATATTTGATGTATGCAACAGTTTTATAACTCTATAAACGCTACAAAATTGCACTGTGCCTGGAAAATGCGTACTGCTGCCCTTTTAAGGAGAGAAAATAGGAACAAGTTCAGGTCATAAATTTAAGTTGATCAGAAAATAAAGAAAATAAAAAATTTGAAAGATTATCTTAACTTATGCATCTAAGCCATGTGTCTCTTTTGACCTTCCACAATAAAGTACACATTTAATAGTTTTCATTATAGATACAATAACAAATGCAGGTTTGAACAATTTTTCAGTTTTTGATGGAATAATTAAAAAAGAACTTTACACATTTTCAGAATCACAAATCGGTTTTATTGGGCAAAACTATGTGACCAAACAGAAATTGCAACTTGAATTCAGAGAGCTCACTGCATGCAGACATTAAATGTATGTAAATAAGCTTTAGAAGAACTAAAGTAAATAGTTTTTTGTAGCATTTACCTTCTGAAGAAAATGCACCCATCCACTTTATTAGAGAAATGTTGCCTCTTTATTTTAAAATTTACAAACAGAAATACAAGTTGTTGTTGTTTTTTAACGAAGCAGATATTCATCAAAAATTATTGAAAGCAGACTTTTTTTTCCCTCCAAAACGTAATGCAACATTTTTATCTTTTTAATTAATCTTGAGAAAAGAATTAGTCGGAGTACATGCTGTCAATTGCTGTGATTATGGACCTAAAATGGTGAATGAACTCCTTCTATTTTCCTCACCTGTATATAAAACAACATCCTGCTGCGGATTCTCTGATTCACTTTGGTGACAACAGACTTCAAACCGATGAGATCTTGTCTCGACTCTCCGCATAAGAACAAAAACCGCCCCTGATTCAAGAGTGCCGTTTCCCCTTCCCGGTGCACAGGAACAGAAGATCTGCCAGCGCTACGACCAGCTGATGGAGGCATGGGAGAAGAAGGTGGAGCGCATGGAGAACAACCCCAGACGTAAAGCCAAGGAGAGCAGAACACGGGAGTACTACGAACGGCAGTTCCCCGAGATCCGCAAGCAGCGAGAGCAGCAGGAGCGCTTCCAAAGGTGAGCGTCGTTCATTATCCTTCGCCACCTTGCACCGGTTTGATGAAGTAATGGAAATCTATATTGGCGACAAACATTTTATTTCCTAAAACGCAATACCATAGCATTCCTTTACTAAAATCTGAGTAGAGTGAAGCTAAAGCTATACCACCTGAGTCGATAGGTCTTTTTTTTTTGAGATTCTGACTTTTTCCAATTGTGTTAAAGCTGGATCTTCACTGCAGACAAATTCGACGTTATTATTGTTGGTACTTCATTTTGTCCCGTTTTTCTCCCACAGAGTCGGACAAAGAGGAACGGGTCTTTCCGCAACAATAGCGAGGAGCGAGCACGAGATCTCTGAAATCATCGACGGTCTCTCGGAACAGGAGGTGGGAACCAGCTGCAGAACATTTGAAGTGCTCTTCCTCTGTAGGGGTTTAATTGTTTACAGTCGTAATCATGCTGATTCTTATTGTGAGATTTCCACTGCATTCCTTAGAGAGGGAAAGTGGAGATGGCGTTAAGCTGCTCAGCTGCGGGTTTACAAATAATAAAGCCATAACATGATGCATCCTAAAGTCGGTGTCACGAGTCTCCCCATACTGTTTTCAAAACAATAATGGTGGACTAGCTACATGTAGCCAAGGACATGCTCTACATTTGAATTGTATATATTTTCCATCTTGTCTTTATGATCTGCTTGTTGGAAGTGATTTCTAAGTCTTGTTTTCTTCATACATCATCGCTACTTTCGCAAAACGCATTGAAGCGGCAAAAAGACCCATCTTTAAATATTCTGAGAAAGGAACCGTTCTGCTGGGTGCTCAGCATTAAGCTTTTAGTGTAAAGTGACAATAGGAAGGGTTTTATCTACGCGTGCAACAATAAATTGTCTGAATTTTCTTAAATTTGGTAGATGGACAATTGGCTGATACTTGGATTTGAAACCAATATTATCTACCTCCACAAAGCTCTGAAAATCAGCCGCTGTTCTGAGAAGGGACGGCTAACTGACAGATACGCCCAGCAGGTTACTACTGCACGCGGCCGGTTAACAATAGTCCTAAATACAGCGACATAGTTGCTATATTTAGAAAAATCGCTATCAGCCAAAATTGGAATCGACAAGTCAAGCTTTTTAAAGATTTATGATTGTCCAGAAAACTGCAATCGGTGCACCCGTAGTTTCATCGGCGGTGACCAAGTCCAGCCATTGAGAGCTATGACCGTGCAACTTCCATGTATATCTTTATATTTAAAAGCTTGCTTATCTGTACCTGATTTTTGTTCGGCTTCAGGCTGGCTTAAAGTGATGTTGCTCAGCCTTTGCATTTTGTCTTGAAGCACGTCACAATTAAACTACTAGGTCTTACGCAACAAGTCTAGTCTGACCTCTGACCCCTCTGTGCCTTACAGAACAACGAGAAACAAATGAGGCAGCTGTCCGTCATCCCTCCCATGATGTACGACTCAGAGCAAAGGCGGGTGAAGTTCATCAACATGAACGGCCTGATGGACGACCCGATGAAGGTGTACAAAGCTCGGCAGTTCATGAATGTTTGGACGGAACACGAGAGGGAGATCTTTAAGGAGAAGTGAGTCCGTGTTCAATTATCACCCCGGTTTTATTAAGCCCCAGCAGTGGGAGTTTGGTTTAGATGAGTGACGAATGCATTTGCCCCGCAGGTTCATACAACATCCCAAGAATTTTGGTTTGATTGCCTCGTATCTTGAAAGGAAGGTAAATGTAAATAGATACCAGCTGGATGTAATTCATCTAATAACAATAATAAACCAGTTAAAACAACATGTAAATATGTTCTTTTTCCTTCTTTTAGTGTGTCGCTGACTGTGTGCTGTTTTACTACTTGACCAAAAAGAACCAAAACTACAAGGCGTTGGTCAGGAGAAACTACGGCAGGAGGAGAGGACGGAACCAGGTAAGTCCAACATTTAAGAAGATTTAAGAAGACCTGCCAATACTGATATATTTTTTTCACCAACACTGTCATGGCAGAGCCAAAGGAGTCAGTGGCTAATCTTCAGAACTTAATTAAGGCGTTTAAGATCAGTTTCACATGTCGGCTGATTGCCCAAAATTAAAGAGGCACTATTATATATTTTCCAGGCACATAAGGCCATTGTAAAGCACAATCAAGTAACTACATTACCTTAATTTGCTACAAAAATACTACATATATCAAATGTGACATCATTTAATTTAACGCCTTGAAATAGGGTCTCTGTCTCTTTAAAAAGCTCCAGCTCTTTCTGAAACTCCACCTAGAGGAAGTCATCACAACATCACTCCTCTATTAACCCTTCAACAATGTTTTTATAAGTGTTGTGCAGAGAAGCAGCTCATGTGACGAGCTCAGCAGATCCTCTGCTTCCCCAGGTGTTTGCCAATTGTTGCTGGCTAGTCTGAAGGAGCTGATTGGGGAAGTGAGGTGGAAGCTCTAAAACTGCAGCTCCGAGGAGGCGTTGTGCCTCAAAGGCGACGCTAGGTCCAAGCTAAACGGTTGCCAAGGCAGATTAAAAGATTTCTCAAATATGCATGAAAGAATCACAGCAGGTATTTCAGGTATTCTTTTGATGAGGGAATAACATTATTATTTTACACAATATTGTCCCTGTAAGGAAATCTTTATTAAAATTATTAAACATTAAAAAATAATCCAAGCTGTTGTTTTGGGATGTGGTCATGGATTTCCTGAAGAGTTTAGGGAATTCCCTACCTAAACCTGAACAATATTCCCTATAGTAATATTACAATGATGATATTGTGAAGTCTTAATCTTTGCATACTTTATTCTGACTCTAAGCTCGGTCATTGGTTCCTGATCTCCACTGTCTGTGTCTTAGTCCAACAACCCCAAAGGTGGAAGTTATGTAAATGCTGAAAATGTGTTGAAAGTTTGAACTTGGCCTCGGGCTGCGTTATGCTGGGACCCTTGGATGGGTATTGAGTCAAAGGTAGGAGAGAAATGAAATATAATAAATGCTGTTTTGTTAGTTTGGTTACTAATGTTCTTGGATGTTGTTTGGTGATCAGACTGATTTATCTGGAGGACGTTCTGTTAGTATTTAGCCCACTAGAATGTCTTTATAGCATTCTGCAAACATTAATTTTCAATCACTGAAAAACATCATTCATTCAGTCTTGTTCATTCTTTATCCTGTTAAGGGTAGAGTAACCTCCAGCTTGTACTGGTTCAGAGAAAATACTGCAATCAAGGCTAAGGACAGGTCTCATCCTCTCTGGCTGTTTCCCTTTGCTTCCTGTGCCACAAGCTCTTGTAGAGAACATTGTGTCCAGTACATCTGCTGTGCAACAGAACTCTGTGGTTCTGGAGCACGATTTTGCGTAAGAGGAGGTGGCAAACTAAAGTTTTCAGAATACCTATTGAGCACAAGAACGTTTTTCATATTCAAGTGGCTGGATGAGTTTCCTCAGTGTTTAACGTTTGCAGTTAGGAGAATTTAGAGAGTTTAAGAGAACCCTGGTGAAGATGGAGGGAAAAGCCTGTTTACTTTACATGTATAGATGGGATATTTGTTTGTTCTAGGTTGTAATTTAAGGAATTGTTTATTAGTGTGTGGCCGATTTCCAAGGTCCAGCAACTGGCATTTGAGTGAGCAGAGTGAGTCGTTAGAGTGGGATAGGAGCAGCAGCAAAGAGCAGAAGAATGTAGGGCAAGTGAGTGAAACTGAGTGGAAAAAAAAGAAAAAAAAAAAAGAAAACCCTCAGTGAGACCGAGTCAGCGTTGGCAGCCTATCTGCTGATTGTGTGCTCTTTCTTTTCTCCCCCCCCCTCATTTTCCATTTACTTTTACTTCTTTGGAGCATGTGAGAGCTCCACCCCCCGCTTGAAAATCCCGACTTGGTATCGTCCGACCAGCTGACAGGCCCAAAAAAACCCTCCCTGTGCTGCTGTGAGTGCCAATCAAAAAAGAGTGCTCAGCAGGGATTACCTTGAGTGACCCCGCGTAGATTAGTGCGTGCATGTGAGATGGACGATTCTTTGGGCGGCTTAAGCGGCCTGATGACACGGTTTCCTGGAATATGTGCGGCCGCGCTACGGCCCGGCAGCCCTTCTAAGGAGCTCTGCGATGGTGCCGTCCTGCCCCTCCACTGCTACCAGTCCCATGGAGGCACTGGAGGCTAAATTCCCACTTGGAACACGAGTTAGCTCTGGCGCTCGGCGGAGGGAAGGGATTTTTGTTGCCAGCAAATGAGTCTGCAGGTATGTCACTAACTTTTAAACCCAAAGCCTTTTACTTTTTGGTCAGGTTCTTCTGGCTGGCATCTGTGTCTCGCCGCGTTCTGGCTGGCCGGCTAGTTTCCTAACCTAGATATTTATTTTAGGCCTGTAGGCAGTGGAACACAGCTATTTTAGGCTAGGTTTTCTGGGACATGTGAAGTCAGGGTCTTTATTTACCACTCAAATCAAACCTCTGCGGCCATGTACATGTATTTATGTTGTGGGCTAGGTGTTATTTCCCATTTTCAGAGGAAGCCCTGTGGCTCTTAACTTTCCTTTTATGCTTTTTTGTAAGGTTTCATAAGCTAATGCATGTCAAAAAAGGAAATAATTCTTTTATGAGCAGATTTTAAGCGAAATTAGCCTCTTGTTTAGTACTTAAAATGTATACTTCTTCAGAGGCCAGGACAGGTTATTTTTTTAAGATTTTGTATTTGTCATAAAACTTCACGTTTTATTCCCTTGTTAGGTGTGAGGGCTCACCAAGACCTCTGCAGGTCTGCTGTGAATCCTGTAGCTTTTCCAAGCTGTGATGATTTGAATCCGTGGATCTGGCTAATTTGTCCACATCCGAGTGTCGCTCCATTGAATTAGGATCTACCGAATTTAGAGTGTCAAGCAACACCTCTGGCTTATGTTCCTCAAAGCAGAACAGTTTGCGTGACATTGCACTTTATCCTGCTTAGAAATGCCACTGTGTCTAGGGAGCGCTGAGGGGGGTGCAGTTGGAGGAACATGAAAGCATCACCAAGAACACTGGGGGCCATTACTTAAATGGAGATGTCTGTGACACATGGAAGAAATTATGGAAGCGTGCACAGGCTTTTACTTTTTAAAGGTTTTCTTTTATGTGGTGTTCCATTCAACTCTGAAGCATTTTCAAAATTGAGATTTCTTTCTATGTTAAAAACGAGATTCTTAGTTTGAGTTCATTAAAAAAAATGAGGGGCAAAACACTTTTTTTTTTCTTTTTTAATATCATTGTTTTGGGCTCTGGTGGCCTTTATTTGCAGTAATCTGACAGGATGAGGGCTAAGAGAAGGGGAAAAAGACATGTGGGATTCGAACTCGGGACAGCGAGGTCTGTGGTTTCTGTATGCTGGCCGCTTCATCCACTGCTCCACGCGGCGACCAGGGAAGGACTTTTCAACATCCTGTAAAACCAAGATGTTCTGCTGGACTTCAGCAGTTTGTTTCATTTGTGATACAGAATAACAGGAAATGTTGACCTCTAGCTATTGACATGTTGCATTTTTTTTAAATAAATATGGTTAAAATAGAATTAAAATAGAGAAACTGGAACTTGAGAAATAATAAAACAGATTTAATTAGGCCCTATTTGAAGTGCACATACGGAATCTCTACAGTTGGCGATTAATCGATTACTAAAGTAGTTGACGAGTATTTCACGATTAATCACGATAAATCCGATTAATTGTTTCAGCCCTAACTGAGAGCAGTGGGAAAGGGTCAGCATGGGGTTCCTGACTGGTTTGCTTTGCCGTAGGCTGTAAACTGAATTAACCCACATCATCTAAACAGCTTTTTGTTGATGTCAGCATACACTTTCTAAGAAATCTGAGTTACTGCACTTCAGGGGTTGGCGTTCTTTTCCTGTGTGCATTATCGAGTCTTCACTGCCCGTACCCTGTTGTTAGTTCAGTGGTTTAGCTTTTATTAGGTTCTGACCACTGCACACCACGAAGATCACACAAGCGTTCTTGCTGAGGTCATACTTGCTGCAATATTTCTGCTTGTTGGTTTTCTTCACATCAGTGTTAAAAATGTTTTTTGTTACCTAAAATGCCCTAAGATGTCCTGCTCAGCCTTTGGGGGGTTGCCCTGTGGTGTTCCATCTTAAAACCCTTATAAGATGCAGTCGGTGCTTTGAATGCATGCAAAGCTGTTGCGCAACATACTCGACATGTTTCTATTTACTGATCGGCATATTTTTCAGATCAGCTCGACTCTAGAAGAGTCTTAGGTTATTTGCAACCGTGCACCTTTGCTGGTTCTTCAGCAGGTGTCATAGTACTGCATCACACTGCTTCCACAATCACCCTGTACAGTTCATTTTATTATTGGTTACAGGTTTGTAATTGGATTAGGTGCATACAATTAATTAGTTGAATTTCATGCTCTGTTCCATGTTGGGAACTTTCAGGTAATTGCAAGGCGTAGCTAACCTCTGCATGGAACCAAAGGATGATCTGAAAAGAGCTACGGTGTTCATAAAAGTATAAGTGATAAATATAGGCTAAGAAATTGCAAGTATTTGCATGATGTTTTGCTGAGTCATAATCAGGTTATTATTTTCAGAATATTAACAAGACCATTTTGGTAAACTCTTAGCCTAAATGTTTTGCAGTTGGCTGGTGTTTGTGTAAGTTCTTTTCTGAAAAACAAAACCAAAATGTTATTAGAAAAACACCAGAAAATTAGAGGCTTCTCTGCTTCAAAACGCTTCATTCCAGGTCCATGAAACCAGGGCATCCCTCGCTCATCGACCCTCTAACATTCACACTAGACATTAAAGCAGATGGATGTGATGTTGTTCCACAATAAGATTGATGCATCTTTCTTAACAGCAGCTTATACTCACACTGCATCAAATGTCTTTGCCTGCCAACCACTACTTTCCCCCATAACTCTGTTGACCAATGTGCTGAACCCAGCAGAGACCACCACACACACGCCATTTAGGCTCTTAAAAGACTTTGAATGTCACTTTTACGCTAAGGGATTGCTTAAAGGCAAAAAAAAAAAAAAAATGTTATTTGTGTCCATGTTTTTCATTTGTCTGATGGTTTTTGCTCGTTTATAAATCTCCTGTGTAAAGCTCCCAGCTACCATGGCAACAGGCAGTGACTGTGGATTTTGAAAATGTTCTTTTCCATGAGTGCAAGTCCTTTAACCCTTTTATTCAGCAAAGAACTTAAGTTATGATGATGGAATTTTAAATCACTATCACCAATACACTATTCACCACTCCAGTACATAACACACAATATACTGCACAGCCTGTTTGAAAGATTGTCATCAATATTTGAATGATGCATGTACTAAAACCTTAAATAAGAAACCATCAAACTTTTACGGTAAGGATGAAATCGCCACATTGAAATAATCGTTGACTAATTTGGAAATTGATTAATCCTTAACTGGAGTATACAAACTCAAAAAAGACCATTTGTTGAAAAAGCAACATATTCAGAGGCCTAATTAAGCCAAAACTGAACAAAAAAAAAAAAATGCATTTTTGCATTTAAGATAAAATCTTTTTATGTCTGTTAATGGGTTTTACCCCAAACCCAAAAACCCAAAATGGCATAGTTTTAAATTCTTCCATTTCAAATTCACTAAAGGAAGTGGCATTTTATTCAATAAAATGTTTATTTTATATATATAAAAAAGTAATCGACTTATTGTTTACTTCTATGTTTTAATGTATTTCTAATATTTTACAAAAAAGCTGAAGTGGTGAAATGAAAAATCTGCAGAATGTAGCAATTTTTTAATGCGATTAATCACAAGAATAATCGATTACTAAAATAATTAACTGTAACATTAGTTTGTTTAATTTCAGAATATTTGCATCATAATAAGAGGAAAAAAATACATGAACAGAAGTCACTTAGTAATATTGAAGACATTTTTTTTTTACATTTCATTTTCCTGAGGTCTTCTCCCTTGGCGCAAGATTGAACGGCTTTTCTGGTGGCCTGAATGCTGTGGCAGGAAGTTGAAGGTTGACTTGTGGCGTTGTCATATGCAAACTTTAAAAACAGACCCAGTGAATCGACAAAACGAGGGCAGAAATTAAGGCTCTTAAAATATTCCGGACAGGTAGGGCGACTGTTTTGCCTCAAAACACTGAGGAACCACAGGCACCTCATTTTGTGTTTTTGAGGAGATCCTCGGAGAGCCTCTGCAGCGATGTTCGGTTGAATCAGTGTGGGCAAAGGGCTGGGAATGCCACGGCTCTGGCTCCAAAGCAAATATATAAGCATTCACTAACCCAGCTAGTGCAGCTTGTCAGTGCCGACCATGTGCAATGAGAATGTCCCCCAACAACCCGACTGAACCTCTTGGTGATATAAAAAAGAAAATATACTATGAGAAATGTAGTCTACCACATTCAGGGTGGATCATAGGTGAGGAGTAACCCGAGGAAATTTTCTTGGCCGTATGCAACATAAGAGTGAATATACTTTGAAAGCTGTTGATAAAGAAAGAGAAATTATTTCCCTAAGTCACTGAGTAATACCAAATGTGTAAGGAAGTGTTTTTTTGTAAAAATATACGTTTAGTAGCAGAGATATTGGTCATTATATGTTTAAGGAGAGTTGCTTAAAAAAGCTAATGTAACTCTTTGGTCAGCAGTAATGTCTCTTCCAAAAGTCTGCACTCGGTTTCCATGGTGAGCATCCAACCTTTGTCGTCCTTTTATCGGCCTGTCACAATAACAAATTTTGCGCTATAATTAATTATCTCGGTATTTATTGTGATAAACTATTGTTATTTTGAGACCATTTTCAAGTTTCATTTATTATTTGATTAGCTGATTAGTAACTTATTGCAACAGCACAAGAACGTGGCTTGTTCCGCTCGACACTCAGCCGTGTCGTAGCGAATAGAACCGAAAATAAACGCAGCTTTCGCTGCAGCAGACATTGTCATGGTCATTCTTGGGGGTGGAGAAAAGAACTCAGTGAATTGCTAACTACTATTAAGGCGTTGTATTGCTTCTCATTATTTAATAAATCAAAGACACTGCAGACTTTACTGCATCACGAGGCAGCTAGAGACCCGCCACCCTCAGACATGCACAGTTCTCTTTTAATATAGCAACATCTTAACCTGCATGGTTCACTGAGCAGCCCAAAGCCTTTCCTCTACATTATGCAACAACTGTCTGACTAGGCCGGATCTAGTAACATATTTATAACATGGAAAAAAATTAAAGCTCTGTCGCATTAGCAGGAAGTAGTGCGTTTCTGTTGTTTCTAGTCAGCTAAACACAAATTGTGCAAGTGGTTTTAGGAGCAAAGGAGCAAAGTTATTTGCAGCACCTTGTTTTTAAAGCATCTGACCCAAACAAACAGGACCAAACTCTTTAAAATCAGCCTGAACAATTCCAAATTACCCTAGTTAGATTTTAATGTTGATGTTGTTGATTAAAATGTAGCTCCGATCAGCTTATGGTCGAAAGACACCATCACTGAAAGAAGTTTGCATCTTAAAAGGATAAAACAGTACAATGTTGTTTTTGCAGATGTTAGCTAAATGATCATTAGTTAGTCCATGCCAGTATATCATTTTAAGATGAACAATGTTGTTGTTGCCTACTTTACATTTCTTGCTACTTTAATGCCAAGAATAAGCCAGCTCCTCTTTAATTTCTGTGCAGAAGTTGTGCCCACTGTTGCTCTCCGCTTATTTTAAAAAATATCTTTATCACAATAGAAAGAGAAAATAATTAGGGAGGAGATATTAGAAAAGAGACCAGCAGAAGGTCTTCTCAATTAAAGAGGGATTACAAGTTGATGAGAGAAAGAAAAGGAAGGTTAGGCGCAGCAATTTCAAATATTTTGGTGAAATTGAAGCTTAAAAGATTTTGCAACCATGACCGCAACTTTCTTTTTTTACTCTACAAAGGCTGCAAAATCTGTAGTTTTAGGCTGCAACAATAAAATAAATTTTATATTTCATGTGCGATAAATTGCACATTTCATCGATTGGGAAAATGAGTGGATTTTAGTTTCTGAATAGCTGCTCATCATTAAGCAGAGCCGGTTGAGCAGAAATGTGTCTAAGTGGATAGCTGGATTCTTGGTGTATCATTATTGATGACATAGCTGAGTTAACTCGTGTAATCATGTTTTAGATGGGTGGGATCATCCCCCCGACCCTTTTTGTACCTCTTCCAAACAAAGAAAAAAAATTACCCCTATCTATCTTCTCTCTTTACCTCATTTCATATCTTTCTGCCCCAACCATTGAGTGAAGCACATTCCTTGGCCCCATCTGGTACCAGCATGGGATGTTTGGCTTGGCATAGCCCAACTTGTTCCAGCACAGCGCTTTCATGAAACAGTCAGGAGGAAGCATTCTGTGGTGTACCGCGCCAGCACTGATGATCAGGAATGTTGTTATGTCCTCAGTCACTCCATCAGCCCAGTTGCTGAAATTCATGTATTATGTATCCGTTTGTCACTTTTTAGGTGGTGAAACTAAAATGACAAGCGAAGTAAAGTTTTGTTTGACATGAAGCCAGTTTTTTATGACCTGTGTCAAATTCAAAATCTGTAAAAGTGTCGAACCTTTTTCCATTTTTGACGGGTTTTCTAAAACGTACTATACGTCTTAAGAACAAGCGTCTTTGTATAGTTTAGTTCTGCATCTTGCATCTTAAAGGTTTTTAAATATTGCACATCATTACTTTGCTGGGTCTTCTGAAACAAAGTAAAAGTTAAAAACCATCACAAAATCCTAGATATAACTGGCATAAGCCTGTCGCATCGATCACCAAATCAATTATAATCGCACCATAAATGAAATCAAGCTCGATAATTTCCATTTACATGAACGTTTTTTGTGTCTGTCTCTTTTTCTACCTAAGAGTGGATGAAAAAAAGCTTCGGTCTGGTTCTCTGGTCTCCACTAGTCCCTTTCTTGAAGGGCAATTTTGTCTAAAGAGTCTTCCATATCCATTTTATTTTATTTTTTTGTTGTTGTTGCTTGTTCACTTTGGATATTTAAAATGTTTTTAAAATATATTTTTTCCTCCCCGACTCATTTTCCTCCCCAAATATGTTTTTTTTTTTTGTCTGCAGCAAATAACACGTCCCTCACAAGAAGAGAAGTCGGAAGACAAGAACGAAGAGGACAAAGCTGAGAAGTCTGAGAAAAAAGAGGACGAGGAAAAGAAGGACGAGGAAGAGAAAGATGAAAAGGAGGATTCTCGGTGAGTTGAATAAGATGGCTGATGTTTCTTTTGACGCCATAGTTAAAGGTTCCCCCTATTCGTGCTTCTGCTACATTTTAAAGCGCATCACTAAATAGCAAACTTTTTCTCTCTTAGTAACAACCGCCACACTGAAGGGTGTTGCGATTAGCAATATCTGACTTCTGATCAGGTGCAGTGTGTTCACTACAAAAGAAAAGCATTGTATTTAATTTGTTCTGAAGCTGAAATTTAGGGATGCACCGATATGAAAATTTGGGCCAATATTGATTTGTTGTTGTGACTGATATTTACTGATATTGCATATATTTTTCTACTCTTTAGACACAGAAAAAATCAACTTTTCTGCTGCAGTTGAACTCCCCATATTGCTGCGCTGCTTCACTTTCACCCTTTTCAGAAACAACAAGATGGAATTAAATATTGGTCCAGTTTTACTTATCGGACCTATAACAAATCAAAAACAACAATAATTATGCATCCATACTGTCAATTGTTCATTTTATGCCACCAGCCCTTTAAATCTCACCATAGCGACCAGGTGCAAGGCAATGCTTTGGTTTCCTTCAGCTCATCTCAGAGTCGGTTCAGGTGTGGCTGTAATGTCAGACAGCTTTGTTAGACACTACCGTTCTTGACTTACATTGACTCAAATTGTTCTAAATCATTTTCAGTGAAGAAATAATCCAGTGTGTCACTGATCAACTTCTTAAATGAAAAACTTTTCACTTCAACCTTCAGTTTGTCACTAGTTTCTACAAGTCTAGAAAATAAAGTAGAGGAACTCTCAATCTAACCTGTTGAGTGACTACAAAGAATAAAAAAAACCAAACATGTTCCCTGAATAACATCCATGATGTGTTCTAACAAGCCAGCAGGTGTCTGACTTGTTGACGTGTCTATTTAGGATTTGCTATCGGCAGGTTTTAATATGCTTTTCTTGTATTCAGTCAGCGGCGACAAAAGCAGGCTACGAGAAGAGCCTGTTATTGCTGCGTCATCAGGGAATAGATATTTGCTGCTGCTGCAGCAGCAGCTAAAAGCTGTGTTTATCCCCCTGTCCAAAAACCACAGGGAGATTGGCAAGGACAAAGACAAGTGTGACGGTGGGGAGGACGAGGACGGAAAGGAGCAAAACACGCCGCGTGGCAGGAAGACTGCCAACAGCCAGGGCCGCCGCAATAGAAGGATCACCACACGCTCCATGGCCAATGAGGCTGCGTCCGTCGCAGCCGAGGACACGCCTCCTCCCGCCTCTGAGCCCGCCCTGCCAGATCCTCCACAGCTACCTAAATCTGATCAAGCGCAGAAGGGAATGAAGGAGCCCGCAAAGTCCCTCACTCCGGTAGCAGCAGATGCTAATAAAGGTGAAAACTCTCATTTTAATGGCTAAAAAAAACTGAAAACGTTTGTGCTTCCGGCTCCAACTGCAGCCTGTTCGATTCTTTTACAAATTAAGTCTATTTTGCATGATTCATGATCTGAATATTAATCGTTTTAGCTTAGCAACTCCACATTCTACAAGCCATGGCGAACACAGAAAACATGTGGAAGAAGATGGTCTTATCTCTGTGTGACTGACTAACACTGGCCAACTGACCGTGAGACGGTGGTGGCAGCATCATGGTGTAAAGCAGGGAAATTGGTCAGAGTTAATGCAGCAAGTTTGAGGAAGTTTGATTCAGAAATATTTTATTTTCATCAAAGGGAAATTAAATGTTGTTGCAACTTATGCCACCTTCACTGTGGGCAGGGAGGACCTGCAGTAGCAGTCAGTCTCACAATGAATCTGAAGAGGCCTCTGACTGAAGACTGTGTCATGTTTATCACCACATGCCGACAGTTCAATTTCCAGCCGGTTGAGACAATAATATGTCCTGAATGACACTATTATGTTAACACTGGAAATACAACTCAGTTCCTTACTGCTCCTCTTTAAATCTCTGTATGTTTAGAGATGATGAAGGTCGATGTGTGAGATTGTCTGAACTTTTTACCTTCGATACACACATGTATGGGGTCTTCTTTCCAACTCTTCTAGTATTTGAGGTTGTAGTTCAGGTATTATTTGAGATGCTAATCAGCAGTTCCCAGATTCAAAAGGAAAACTTTGTTGCCATGGTTGCAGATCATAGCAACTGTCCGAAAGTAATAAAATTGAAAGCGAAAACCCTTCCAGTTGCACAGCGTTCACAATCGGAGGGAATAATTGTCAATATGCAGTGTCTCAAGCAAAAAAATAAAATATGGTACCATAGTCTGCAAAAAGAACAAACCAGAATCAACATAGCAGAGCTTATTTGAGATGCTGCCACCAGGAGCGGCGCATATAAAGCAGAAACTCCAGAAGGTGGAGGCCTAACCCTCACCTGGATCAATGACTACCTGACAGACACGGCGTAGTTTATGAGACTGAAGGTTTGTGTGTCCAAACAGGAAGTCAGCAGCCCAGGAGTTCCTCAGGGGACAGTACTCTAACCACTCCTTTTCTCTCTCCACACCTCCAACTTCTAGCACAAGTCATCAGCAGAAATTCTCAAATGACTCTGCAGTTGCCGGCTAGAGTCCAGACCTAAAGCCAATTAATAATTAATAGGCAAAACTTAAACATTTATGTTCGTAGTTTCTCCTCTTTCTGACTTGAGCTTGAGCTCTTTCGCACAGAAGAACAAAGAAAATGTTCTTCCTGTAGATATAAAAAGCTTACTAGTAGCCTTAATTCCACAAAATAGAAAGTTATACAAAATATTTCCTCCTCGAAAGACAAGCAGGTGCCTGCTTTTGTTGGTCTGTCGCAACAAAATCCCCTACATAATTGATTTCAACAAAAGCATTCAGAACGTGACAAAATCCGAAGAAAATTTCAGAGACATATTTATGATGCAACAGATTGTATTTGCTTACTCTGTTGTAACCTTTTCTATTTCTTAGAACTACGTTGCCTTGGTTTTAAAGTGTAGCTGTGGGTCAGCGTTGCCTAGTTGAAGGCCTGCCAGGCAAGTTAAACAAGCTGCTGATTCAGTGGTGGGGGGGGGAGAACGACGGTGGCGTGAGTTTATGTTGACGGTCTGCATTTACATTGCACCTGTCTTCATTCACAAGGTGGGCGAATGGGTGGGCGGTGGGACTGTTGACCTCCTCCTAATCTCAAGGGGACATCTGCAGCTATTTTGGTCCAAATGTTTACGCGACCCCATCGGGGCGCCCTGGAATAGAACGGGGCTAGAGTTCACTTGTTCCCCTCCGCTCTCGCCGTCCACTTCTGTGAATTTTTAGCTTGAAGTGCGCAGCCAAGGAGAGCAAAAGGAGGAGTGTGTGTCGGACACACGGCATCGCAGCCGGAGCGGTGGGAGGGCTCAGGTCCCGACGGCTCGATTTGCCCGTTCGCCTCCATCCAAGGCCATTTCCCAAAGAGGAAGGCCGGCAGCTCTCGGTTCCTCCGGTGTCTGACGCTGTGTCAGCTGACCAGGGTGGCCCCTCCCCTTCCCTGTGGACGAGAGAGAGGGAGTAGGAGGGTGAAAGGAGGCGAGTAAGCGAGGGAGCAGGTCTCAGCAGTCCTGAATGTAAACAGATTATTAGATTAGTGGCCATGAGAAGAAGCTGGCTGAAGAGAAGACAGCCTCTCTCTCTTTTTCTCTCTCGCTGTCCGTTCATCTCCCTCACTCTTTCACTTTGTCGTTTTTCTTTTTTTTTTTTTTGTTTGTTTTTTTCCTTCCCCTCCTCCTCCTCTCTGGGAGTCCTAATGGATCTGCATCTCGTCCTTTTGTGATTTAGCTGGCGCTGGTGAAAGCGGAGAAACTTCTCGCTGGACCGAGGAGGAGATGGAGGTCGCCAAAAAAGGTAATGTTTGATTCATTTCTCCCCTTTCTCTACTGTCCCTTTCTGCAGCCGCTCACTTGGCGGCAGGTCTGCTGCTGTTTATGGTCAACTCGGTTGTTCTCATGAATAATAGATATTTCATCAACCTATCTTGTTTCTTGCATGCACTTTATTTTCTATCAGGAATTTTTTTTTCTTTCTTCATAGCTTTTTTTTTTTTTGCTTCACTCGCTTCTCAGAAGTGATCAATCATTGAAGGAGCAACAGAGCATTACGTTTATATCAACTAACATTTACTTTTGCCTTGAAAGTATCTGGGTAGTTAATGTGAGACTGCACTACTAGAATCATTTTTGGGTCACATTGCAGTAAAATGTTCTCCGTCTTCACTTTGCCCTTCGAGTTCTTCAAGGTTTGTATGCATGTACAAGGTGTGAAAAGTGCTTATCAAGTCCTTGAAAGGACTTGATATTCAAACTGCACTGTTTTGTAAGAAAGCGTAATCTAACGTTTGATTAAAATTTGGGAGGCGCTATTTACAGTTGAAACCAGATATTTCAAGATTATAAAAAGATGCATGCACATTTTTTTTCCTCACTGCCTGAAGTTAAATCACAACAAACTTTTCTTTTTCTTCTTTTTTTTTTTTTTTTTTTTAGGTCAGTTAGGATTTCCAAAATTATGTCTATTTGCTAAACGACAGAAAATTTGCCCAGAATTCTTTTTATTTATTTTTTTTTTAGATTTTTTTGTAACCTTCTCAGACCAGTCAGGCTTATAACCTGTGTGAAGGAGACAACTCAAAACCTGAACTTTTGCTGTAATTTAGTTTACATTGTCTTTCTAATTCTAATGTCTTGTGTAGAACACTATAATAAGACAGTGTTAGTAACAGTAATAAATAATGTTGAACTGAAACTTTTTTTTTTTAGTTCATTTGTGTCGTTTTAAAACTTGTTGAAAATGCTTGATTTTTACTGTGGGAACATGATGTGAACTCTTTCTCTTGGTACTTAGAACAGATTTCTATTTAATTATTTAATATTGTTGTTAATTATTATTATTATTATTATTTAATTTCCCTCTGGGATTAAAGTATTTTTGAATTGAATTGAATTTCTAAATCCTAGTGGCTTTTAGTGAATAAAGGGATTAATCCAGATTAATTAAAACGTTCTTGGCTTGATAGATATTTTTTCCCTCCGCTTTTGCTAAAATGCATCTTGCTTTATATCTTCTCCGGCATTCAGATCCGTCTGCTGGATTAGTTGTAGCTAGTCATATGACAAGACCTGGTTCAGAAATGATTTTTAAGCCTCCACACACGGCTGCTCAGAAAAACAGAGCAGTTTCCTCTCTTGGTCAGAGAACGTACTCATCTATGAGGAGTAGTCATGCAGGCAATACAAGATATTTTACCTTGTATTGTTTCCTATTAAAACAACTCTTGGAGTGATTTTGTGCGGACCGCAGTTTAAGAAACGTCGTGGATGGAAATGTGCTCTTGTTTTTGTCTGTGGCAGATTTCTTACAAATTAAAATGCAACATATTAGTTACCACACTAATTATTCATCCTTTAGCAAGCACTTTTTTTTTTTTTGCTTTTATTTTAACTTGAGAGTTAACAGGACCACAAACTTTCAGTGATTCTTAATCCAAAGCAGACATGTGTGTAGCTACGCATGAAACGTTTTCAGGAAAGAGTGCCCTGTATCCTGTTTGCATTGCTGAGGACAGACGGACGTTTTTCTCTAGGCCTGAATAATTGAAAACTAACCTAAAAGATGTGAGGATATTGTTTGTGTTTTGGACCTCAAATGATTTTCAAATCACTTTTCTGCAGAATTCGGACATTTACATCCACAGTTTTGGTTTATGGCGGATTAAAAGAAAAATAAACAAACAACTCTGCAAAATTTATTCCGAATTTGTATTAAAAAATAAATTTCGGACCATGTGGCAAAAGTTGATGAAAACGATTCCTCAGTGACTATCTTGTAAATCGTGTCTGTTTTTTGTTTTTTGTTTAAATATCACAAATGTTTTGGTGATTGTTGTCAATAAGCCTGAGCTACCAGATGGAAAACTCTAAGATTTTGTCTTTGCCATGAAAATAAAGCTGCCTTGTTGAAGAGAATAGTAACATGTAGATATGCAGGACATTTTGTGATAGAAACATCAAATACTTGCGTATGTTACGTCGCTGTTAGCCATAGATAATCTTAAAGGACGTTGGTGCAGTTTTAGGTAACATTCACTGGTCTCTTGACAATGCCTCATTCCATCATCTAACTGGAACAGTTTTGGTGTTTTGTGATCATTTGTTAAGCTGCCAGCATCTTTCCTCTAAGTAGGGCTGGCAGGGAGAGCTGGTCACCATGGGTTACAGGTTTTCAAAGAGAGACACCCTAATGTCAAAGGTAAATGGCCATCTGCCAAGTTCACTGCAGCTCGCTGAGCAGTTTCTAAAGTTTGTCGAGTTCAGAGCTGATTAGAAACTGAGTCGACTGACATAATGATAGGACTTCAATGCTTATTTTAGATCTGGCTTTCAGAGTTTTGGTGTAACAAATTATCATTAAGGTTTTTACAGTTGCGTTTAAATTAAAAGGCATAAAAAGATAGTGAAGAAATTCTCAGATAAGGAAAAAAAAAATACTTTACCGATATGAGTCGTTTAAAATGATTGAAACAATGTCCCAGTCAGATACTGCCACAAACTGAATACCATGGATATACTTCAATAGCTTAAGATCTTCTGTTTCTAAACATATATATGACTGCATATATGTATAGATCTGCAGTTCTCCCATAAACTCCTGACTTGTTTTTTATGTGCGACAGTTTGCTAAAGTGTTATTGTAACATTAGCATGTTTGCTCTCTGTTTTCAGATGACTTGTCAGTATTTTAGTATGTTTCCAGTTAATTGTATGCAGACAAAACTATTTTCCTGCTTTTTAAACTTAGTAGATTTAAAAAAATAAATAAATTAGCCATTTAAATTGTAACTACAGCAAACCAACAGACATTGGGAGTTGAGTTTACTCCAAGAATAAAGAAATGCTTTGACGCTTGAACGGATTCGGAACGTCGCTAATGTAGAGAGCATATTGTTGCGCTTTTCCCGCCGCATCAGATTACGTGAACCGCATTTCGAATCGTCCTTGTGCTTTCTGTCCCAGGGCTAGTTGAACATGGCAGAAACTGGACGGCCATCGCCAAAATGGTGGGCACCAAAAGCGAGGCGCAGTGCAAGAACTTCTATTTCAATTACAAGAGGCGCCACAACCTGGACAACCTGCTCCAGCAGCACAAGAAGGTAAACTCCCAGCTTTCTGCTTCCTGTCAAGGTCTGCCGTCGTGGCGGCTTGCAGCATGTGTATGCAAGGTGGTAATCGCCGTCTGTTTCCCAGGATACTCGCAGAGCTCGCGCTGATACGTCTCAAGGGGAAGGCCAAGCCACGGCGTCACCTGATGATGACGAGGACAATGCAGATGACAGTGAAGGTCAGACAGAAGAAGCGTGTGTTCTGTTTCACACACACACACACACACACACACACACACACACACACACACACACACACACACACTTATGTTCCCACACTCTTTCCTTCCTGTTTATCAGAGGTCCAAGTCCAAGGGCAGTTGGAATAAAAGCTGCACATCTGCACACACGTTTGGTTTTGGCTACATCTCCAGTTCCTGTTTATGGGTTACGCAGCTTGAGTTCAGTCTGTTTAAAGTAATAATATTTTGGAATTTTTTCATGAATATAAACAAAACAGAAGTATTTGAAAATTATGAATGTATAGTAATGTTTTTTTTTTTTTTTTTGTGGGGTCGGGGGGAACATGGAGTTATTGACCACGGGACGTATTAAACCTCCGTCAGTCTGTATCATCAGTTAATACATAATTATGCATTAAACTGCCTGTTAACGATGAGCAATTTGCATTAACAAAAAATGTTTTCAGTATATGGGTCACCAAAACAAGCTCCAGCATAGGGGCCCACATCGTTGCAAACCTGTCCCTGACTGTCGCACAAAAGTTTTACTTAATTCTGTGATCTAAGGAAGTTGAGGCTACCGCTAACTAGCTGCGCGTATACCCGTGCTAGCTAGTTTTTTTTTTTTACATGTAAATTTGCTGCCATTTAACTAGACAATGTTTGACTTCACCACTGACTCACTTTGATTGTAAACCCATTCGACGCTTTGTGTATTCTTCTTCGTATTATTATTAAAAGCTTAACGCTGTTCAGGCTGTCGAGATCCATATGCAGTGTGAGAAACACCAACTGCTGTCAAGAGCCACAAACAGACGGTAGAAATGTCACAGTTTTGACCCCGTCGGGTTTTAAAGCGCCTCAGAAAACAGTCGGAGCTGCTGCCCCTAGCACTGAGCTAAGAGCAGCATTTGGTCTGACTCAAACTCTGAAGTCTGTGATTTTTGTGGATTTCAAACACGGTGGTTGAACACCAGTCTTATCGATTGACAACTTTTATTTCAATAAAGTTGTTAGTCTTAAGTTTGAGTTGGTGAAACCTGCAGAGACCCTGGATAGATTGATCAGGTAGACATAGGAATGTGAAAGTGCACTTGCAAACATCGGATATTGAGTTAAGCTGGAACTCTAACTTTAA